AGGCAGTGAGTCCAACAGACAGTGAGTCCAACAGGCAGTGAGTCCAACAGACAGTGAGTCCAACAGGCAGTGAGTCCAACAGACAGTGAGTCCAACAGGCAGTGAGTCCGACAGACAGTGAGTCCAACAGACAGTGAGTCCAACAGGCAGTGAGTCCGACAGACAGTGAGTCCAACAGACAGTGAGTCCAACAGACAGTGAGTCCGTGTCATGCAACGTGTCTGAATGGCAGCAGAGAACTGAGCAGAACCAAACATTTAAACACTGAAGTCAATTGGAACCACAGTTTCCCTGGAACATCTGGACCAAGTGCTCTGACGGCACCATGAATTATTTTCCTCCATGTCTTTTTACTACTAGCCAACTTTAGTAGTCAGAAAAGTCCAATGTTATCCATCATATCTCTGCCTCTCTGGAAGCAGCGGTTCATCCAGGGGAATATTGTTATGATTCATTCTGATTCATGAACCAGAACCTCAGACATTCATGCTGTTTTTTCATCCCACCTGCTTTTGTTGAACGCCCATAAAACAATCTTTTCTACTTAACAAATCCAGATTAGCGTTTTTTTGTAGGTCAGCATTTTGATGAATTATGGAAATAAATCAAATTATAAAGGGCTCAAATCTCACAGATCAATTATTTAACTGTATTTGTCTTAAGACTTTTGGTTCTGATCTCCATTATAAATATGAGAGTATGGCTGCTGATCAAACCAGAATATCTGAGAGTGAAATCCTGCAGGTAGGTCACATGATTTATGGATGTAACTACTTTTATTTTAACATGCTTTATGGATAGAAACGTACTTTAAAAAAATCCTTATTATTTTACTTTGTGTTTATTCAAATTAGAAATGGATACTCCTTTTAAATTCTTTAAAGAATTAAAAAACAAATTTAAATGTTAAAACTTACTTTAAATCATCAGAAATGTTGATTAGCATCTTAAAAGCTGTGTGACCCCAAATCTCAGAGAACCAAAGAGCAGAGAGAGAAGGAAGAAGTTCAAACCATCATGAGGAACAGGAACGGTATCCCCTACTCCAACGTCTGCCGAACCACAGCCAGGCAGGGTTCAAGAGAAGCAGCAACAGCTAATGAGATGGACTAGCAGTGCTTACCATGACAGTCACGAGAAAGTCATACAGTAACCATCTTCAGTCAGAGGCTTCTACAGATTCATTGCAAGACTGACTGCTACTGGAGATACTTCCTGCCCACAGAATCACCATCCACAACCACTCTTTGAAGATATGTGCATGATATGAATTACAACAACATTTAGTTTCCTTTAGGGATAAATAAAGTGGAGTAAAATGTTGATGTTTCTGCTCTGCTCAACGGAGGACAGACCAGAAACAGCTGTAAAAAGTCAACAGGGAACATCCAGAGTTTGGAGAGAAAACACATCTACAGGATTTACTTTCCAAAAATCACTGCTAACGTATGTGAAAACTCAAAGCTTGGTGTTAAATCTGTGCTCCAACAATGCAAACATATGGAGCTGAGAGCTGATGTTCCAGCGAAAACAGTAACGCATGAAGGGCGTGTGCTGAATATTTTACATCCAAAAAATGCAAAGTTTAATGCCATGAAAAACACACACAGTGTCATTTAGGGGTTCTCAAACTGCAGACTTCCTCCTAAAATGATGTGCAGGCCAACATCTGGCCAACATCTGGATCCCAGAGCAAAACAACTGGATTTAGAACTCCACTTATTTTACACATATTGCGTTTTGGAGTTAACTTTCACTATAATCTGGATCAGCATCAACAAGCCCCAGATAAGACCTTCATCATCTCCCGGCTCACCTGTGTCTTGTCTGAACTGGTGCATGGACTGGAGGTCGATGATGTACGGCGAGAGCCGGCTGTCGACCTGGCCGAGGACCACGCTCCCTCCGCGGGGGTCGCTGCTCCGGATGGCCGCCTCGATCTGGTGGGAGACGGCGGGGCTGTAGGGCCGCCACCGGCCGTGCTCGTTGAGCCATTCCCACACCACCACAGCGGAGGCCAGGAGCATGTTGTTACTGGTGGCCCTGGGGAGTAAATTAGTGTTAAACCAGAAGGAAAGACGGGATGACGGGGAAGTGTTGGCTGGGAACGGCGCCTGGCAGCTGGAAGCGGAGGCTAGCAGAGACACAAAGCGATGTTTTTCTCCCTGTTGTCTGATTTTAATCTGTTCTTCTCTGGGTTTGTGGACATATTTATACCTCATTATGAATAAATAAAATCATATAATGCTGTAAAGCTAACAGATACCCAGGCGTGGAGTCTTACATGGAGCCGCGGAGGAGCTAACACCGGGAGGAGGCGGCACATTCTTCCACAGAGCTCCGGGCTTCTCTCATGGCAGCTGGGCGAAGCAAATCACGGTCCTCCCCCTGTTATACCACCGTAATGCGTGGATAAAACACCCGGGACTTGAGCAGGCACGAAAAAGTGGATATTGGCCCTGAGGTCGGCTTCTTTCCGGCCGATGTTTTTCCTTCCAAACGGGCTAACAGCAGCTCCGGAGAGTCGGTTGGTTCTCAGCCCGTTTTTTGAGGCCTTTAGAGGGGCAGAAATCTCCGCGCTGTCGTCAGTGATGTACCGCCTCCGTGCTGTGGTTCCCCCACGCCGCGGGATTACTCAGAAAGGGCATAAAACCCCCACGAACACCTCTGTGTTTAAATTTTCTTTCAATTCCTCTTTTATTACCGACGTGTCTGGGACTTAGCAATCCGAAAAGCGGTGGCTTCTTCCAACGACTCCCCAACCTGGAGAGGAAAAACTGGTTCAACCGGTCTGGATCCCCGGGACACAACCTGACACATGCAACCAAAACCGAGCCTTTGTTCTCCGCTGGATGAACCGAACTAATCAGCCTTTAAAAAAAAATCACATTAGAAGAGTCTTAAAGCAGCAAATGAGTGAAAGATTCACCTGTTGGACTCCTGCGTCCTCCCTCCTGATCCAAGACTTCTGGAACAAACTTTAACGAACTCCTTCATGAATGAAATCTACCCTTTAGGCTCCAGCATGGTTCCGTCTGTCTCTCCCCTTCCACTCCACACAAAGAGAAATCCTCACCAACTTTTATTTAATTTAAATAAACCAAACGAGAGAGGAAAAACCCCTCCCTATGAAGTTAAGAGGAGAAAAACGGTGTTTCCATGTTTATTCTATCCTTTCGCGTCCATCTTCGCTTCATTGTAGCCGAAAAACTGGATATGAAGCTGCGGAGTGGCCGAGGACAACAGCCGCCCCCAATCACTCAGCTCCCTCCACTCACCACGCCTAAATCCACTCGTTGGGAGTACACGAAACGAGCCACCACAACAGAAAATAAACACTGCTTTTCTCGATTTTCATTTTATTTCTATGTTATTCCACGCTCAAATAAAATAAAAGGGATAAATACACATTAAAATGCACGTTTTATTTTACATTTTCTGTCTAGTCGTTTGCTGCAACGTTTGAAAAAGTGATGAAATGCCGCCACCCGGTGGAGACATTGTGAGTAAGGTGAATTTAAATGGTTCCGTCCGCGGTTTGAGTTTTGAGACTTAATTCTCATATTTACTTGATGTCCTTGAATCCGAACATTTTATGTCACTAAACCACAAGAAACAAAGCATAAACAGCACCATCGCTGTACTTCACTTGTTGATAAGATTTAAGTGAAAATGACGTCATGTCCGGTATCTCAGGCTCCATAGCTCAGGGGTTAGAGCACTGGTCTTGTAAACCAGGGGTCGCGAGTTCAAATCTCGCTGGGGCCTGTAATTTGTTTTTCAGTTGAAAAATGTTTTACTTACCTGCACATGTTTTCAGTTGTTTAAGTTTGGAGGGAATGATTTGTCATAATGCTTTGTACAGCAAAGGCGTTATGTTTCATAGGAAGATTCTAGTGAAGGCTGTGTGTTTCTCCGTTCCCTATTTGTAACAGTAAAATCTATTTCTGTGATTGTCATGGAGCTCAAATTATAAACAATAACTGTCCCACAATAAATGACCTACATTGATTATGCTCTTCTTTAAGGTACTTTAAAAAGGCTTTGTTGGTATAAGTAATAGGAACTTAATATGATTACTACATGGTGTAATGTTTACTGTAATAATCATAAAAGTATGATTAAAAAATATGATTAAAAACTAATTTAAAATAATTACTCCCATATTAATACTTTGTGTTACTTTCATGCAATCAACAGTGGACAAAATAGGCATATATCTTTATGAATATGAATTTATTTACTCTGGCTTTTTATATATTTACTCTTTAAGTCCATACAGGGATAACTGCAGTTTACACACCAATCTTTATTTTTTCTGAGGTTCCTTCTTTAGTTCTCAGGTTGTTCAATAAAATCTGGCATTTAAATATGTTGTCTTCAAGTCTATCTAGTGAATATGTCTTCTTGTGACACCATATTGAGCCTTACAGGTCTGATCCATCGTTATTCTTTTTTTTTCTCTTCTCTTCTTCAGCCTTGTCCTCAGGTTAAGTTGGTTTCATTTTTTTCGATTGCTGTTGGTTGTATGTTTATGCTTCCGTTTTCTGTGGTTGCAACATTTTCGTTTGCAGTGTTTTTCGGTTCCATTTGAGTTTTTGTGTGTTTTGGAGTTTGCGTCATTCACGTGTTTGCTGCTGTCCGTTTTTATGAGTCAGAGATGAATATATCGGTATAAAGTCCAACCAGCATTTTTAGTCAGAAAGTCACTATTTCTTGATATTTTCTGAAATTGCTATTTGAAAGTTAGAGTGACAGGATGTTTAAACAGGAGAATTAACAAAATTATAGAAGACGAAGCGTAACATATGAGACGGTAGAGCCAATTGTAATACAGATTATAATGGATATGAGGTTTACGTGGTGATCGTTGAGTCAGAACCAAAATAGTACAAACTTCGCTGTTTATAGGAATATTTTTCATCATCTTTCTTGAGTTTTTCAGAGCCCGGATAGCTCAGTCGGTAGAGCATCAGACTTTTAATCTGAGGGTCCAGGGTTCAAGTCCCTGTTCGGGCGGCATCGTTTTTTCCTTCTGAAATTTCGTCTGGGCGTCAACATTGACCTAAAATTGTTCTGTTCCGTTTAAATACCTAGATTGGGAATAGTTCCGAAATAAACCTGCAAGGAATCAGAACGAGAAACGAGGACTTGGAATGAACAGCATCTACCGGTGAGGAAAAGCAGGACAAGTATTCTCTGAGGAAGACTCACAGTCGAGAAAAAATATGCAAGGAACAGTAATATACAGCCTGGAGTTCATAATTTTCATATCAGTCAAACTCATGACTTTCCTTCCCAACACTTGACACTGATTTAAAGTAATCCTTTCGTGATGCCTTCGGTCATATGATCGACTCATTGTCCGAGTGGTTATATATATATATATATATATATATATATATATATATATATATATATATATATATATATATATATATATATATATATATATATATATATATATATAGTGGAAGTTAGAGAAAACTCCACCCATCCGGCGCGCCGTTTTCCTCACAGGCGTGCAAATGGTGCGGACCGTGTGTCCTGGACGAAGTAAACACTCGAGAAAATCTCCAAATACAGACAAGAGATGTCGACATAAAATACTACTACTACTACTACTACTACTGGTACTACTACCAATAATAATAATGTAGTGCATCTGCTTATCTCTGCATTATTTCCCATACTGAGTGGCCTGATCTGAGTTTTAAGTGCGTTACTGTTCATTTACTTCGTTAACAGAATTCTTTTTGCAGCGGTTGTGTGTTCTGGGGGGAATGTTTTTGTTTTAGTGATAATGACCACTCCAGGAGGGAATAATGTTGATCTTCTTTTAATGAAGATAACCGAACCGGAGTTCAACTGGATAGTTTACGTGCTCTAACGCCGATGCAGACGAACTTTACACGTCACACCAGAGTCAGCGAGCATCCAGAACCGCACCTTTACAATCCATCCTGGCTCCCATTAACAATATCTCTCCATGTCAAAATTAAGATTGAATTAATTTAAACAGTTGAATGTTTAAGTATTTATCTCACCAAAAATAAGGGGAGGAAATAACAAAAGGAAGTCAATACCAGAGATATGGTTCAAGCTTTTCATTGGTTTTATATTGAGTATCTTTACAAAGTACAAGTATAACAAGTAAATAAAGTATTTTCTAGAGACAGTTGCAGGCTCCGCTGCATTAAACTACTCACAACAAAATTACACAAACTAAGTGCAATAAATAAAAACACAAGCAAGAACAAAATACAAAGAAAATAAATAATATAATATCCTTGTGATATTTGTAAGGACATAAACAATTTAGCCTCATAGTGAGTTCATATATTTGAAACAGGCTAATTGAATGATTGCAGTGTGAAAACTCGCCGTGCTGAGGCATCGTTTTGTGTTTGAGTTGTTTGTTTGCTGTAGTTCCTGTTGGTCGTCTTCCACTTCCTCTGTCTGGTTTTCCAGTGAGTGATGCAAACTGTCATAATCATAATCAGCAACCCAGAACACACAGCTGCAGAGTACCAGTGCTGGAACAGAAACTGGGAGGAATCTGGAAGTGCACACATCCAAGGACACGACATTAACCTAAATGTAAAAATACACAGCTTGTTTACAGTTTATTGAAATAACTGTACCTCGTAAAACAATGCATTTTATATCATCTTGTAGAGTCATGGTAAATATAAAGAGCTAACAGGAGATAAAAAGTCTCTAACAAAATGGATTCTGGTTTCTTTCTCTCCGTTTCAGAGAGAAAGTAACTAGGTTACCAAAATGTCTGTTTGTGGTTTTTATGGTGATGATGATAATGTAAAAACAGAGTTTGTTATTCTGATTATTCTGATTCCGATTAATTGCCAAACTAGTCAAGAGGGGCAGTGTAAGAAAAACTAAGTACACCCCTGCTGCTTCGGCGCATGTGATTTAAGAAGGTAGCAGACAGAGGATCAGCTCTTTGAGAGCAGAAAGTTTGACAGGTTGCTGCTCTGAAGCATTGTGTGTGTTAAAACAATGCCAGAATGGAAATACATCAGCAAAGCCCTTAGCTTATGTTCACACAGCACGTCTTCATGCTCAATTCAGATTTTTTTGCTGAAGTACGATATTTTTTGTGTGGCTCATGCATTAGTTCATGCCACTAATTAAATGCAACTGCAATCAGACTCCTGTGTGAACAGTTTACGACTCCAAAGCACAGAAGAAGAACGTTGGCGCCACACAGCAGCGCTCTGTTTACAGAAGTATTGATGGATGCTGTCAACTATAGATTAATGTTAAAGTTATCCAGCGATGGGAGCCGACAGTATCGTCACAAGATCATAACAAGATGCAGGAAGCTGATAAAAAGAAATCACAGCAACAGCCTTTAGTGGAGCACTGACCGCATCTTCTGTAAAGACGATTGGATGTGGAGTCGGACCAGGAGTGGTAGGATTTGGATGTGGTGTGCGTCACTGACTCAGACTGCTTTCATAGGTTCATAATAATAACTTTCACCCATTGATTACATCCAGATTTATAGCGTCTGGCTTCTTTTGATGCAGAATAATGATGCATGTCTCACATTAATGATGTAAAAGTCATATTAAATGTACAAATCTGATTTTTTTGCGGAGTGAAAAGATCAGAATTGTTCCGTTCAGATTGTTGTGAGAAAGTCAGATTCAGGTCACATTTTCCTGCTGTGTGAATGTAGCTTAAACAATCGAGGAAGGGTTAATAGAACCTCTTTGGGTTTGTTGAACTTTTCTCTAGCAATAGGGGGAACTCATTAACTCCACATAAACTGCTATTTATGTGGCAGTTTATGTGGAGGCAGTTAATGAAGTTCTGAGCCCTGTGATGTTAGCATATCAGGCAGATTACTGCTGGAAGGAACAATTTTGATCCTAAAACGGAGGAATGCTTACTATGAATCCGTGTTCCTTTTCCAATTATCACACGTCCATTCATGTTGGCAATGCAGTAATACAGGCCCAGATCCCCCACTTCGACACCAGTGATCTTCAGAGCTAGAGACCGATTCATGAGACTCGCTGAATGACGAAGACTGAGCTGAAACACTGAAAACAAAAGTTGTAATTGTTAATGTTTAATTTGGACTGTCACAAAAAATTGAATCCTTCTGGATCGGGACTAAAAGTTCTGGCCTACACTCAGCCGGCCGTCCCTCCCTGAGGCTGGCGTGGAGGACCATGGTTGGAATGAAGCCTGGGTTTTGTTTAAGCCACGTTGTCGTGTCGTACAGGTAGGAGATGTTGCACCCCAGAGTGACGTTTGAACCAAAGTGGACCTGCTGGACCTCAGCAGCTGGAACGAACAGCATCCAAAACCCGGATATGGTAATAAAACCTGGAGGGGATCAAATGGACCAAAGCAGAACAAGTTTAGACAAAACATTCAACTTTCTGACAGTACCAGACCGAATGTGCAGAACAGTGGCTGGTTGTTATCTGAATGGATTGAATGTAACATTCTTAGTACGTTCTGGACCCAAAACAGAAACCATGACCCAGAAAAGTTTTTACTGTCAACAGTAATGTGTAAGCAGGAATGGGGAAGTTTATTGGGATCAGAACTTGATTGATGGAGACGCGATGGATGGATAGGGCCACCAGGAAGTGGCATTCCATCAGGAAGCTGAGGTTTGCCCTGCTCAGGAAGTTTTCCAGGGTTTCCTCTGGGGAGAATTGAGGCTTTCTTTCCTTGAGTACTTGAGGTCATGACAGAGGGAGTGAGGGAAGGATTGGTTTACTGGGGATTGTTGCACAGAGACAGGGACTCCATACAGACGAATTATAGATTATAGTAAGAGGGGAAGTCTTGGAGAGCAGGAACTCTGGTAGTTCGGTACGATGATCAGATTCCACTGTGGGAAAGTGAATTTTCACTTTGTTCTTAGTGGTGGAGAAACATGAGGCTTGGCAGGAACAGAGAAGATTATGACATTAAATGTTTTATTTCAGGCAAACAACAACCTTTATTTCTCAGGTTAAATCTAATTATTTAATGTTTTCTGTAAGCAAACTTCCTGTCGGCCATATTGGAGGACTCATGCTAGACTGGTAGCTATAGCAACATTAATGTTCTTTGAACTGCAGTGGCTGCTGGTCAAGCAGGTTGAGTCCGAGCCAACATGGCTGCTGGGCCCCATAGGTATTTGGTCATACTGGACCCAGTTCCCAGGCCGCTTGACTACAAACTCTACAATTGTTTACATTTCTGCTGTTGTTTGCACAGTTTTTATTGTCACAAATACATAAAACATTTTAACATTTTTACTTTTAAAGTTATCCAACTCAACTTTGCATTCCTTTGGATCAGAATATTCTAGTTTTGATATTTTATATTAACAATTTAGTCCTTGTCTTTGTTTTTAGTATATTTTCATAATTTTTAATTGTAAATGTCTCAATTTTCTGTGACTTTGTTGCTGTTACACCTGAATTTTCCCACTGTGAGAAAATAATTATATTCTATCAACACAGAGCTGAAAATTATATTGAATTATAATTAACAGAGTGCTTACTGCTTAGACACAATATTTGATTATTTAGATCAGTAGCAATCAATTCAATCAATATTTTAAGCAATAATATGGTGACTAATTTTTTCCTAAAATGTCATGGACCGTACAGACCGGTACCGGTACCGGTCTGTACGAAGTAGAGCTCATGTCTTGAGCTCTACTTCAAGACATGAGGTTGTTTCACCAAATGTGAAATAGGTGCATGATTGAAGACATTTGAGTTCTCTGATCTGCTCAGTCTTTAAACCATGATTCAATTAAGGCACCAAGTAGTTAAAAATATCAATGAATAAAATGTTTATTAAGCCACCAAACTCTGGATTGAATCTTCTTTTTGGCATTCTTTATCCATTAATTAAAAAACTACTGCTGTTGTTCTTGTCCCTCAAGTTCCTGGTTCTGTTTTTTCTGCTTCAGTTTGTAGATATTTATTTATTTTTAGATTAGATGTTTTTTTTTTTTTAGAAATTCTTTTACATCTTCCTCATAGTTAGGATGGTAAAATGCATATCTTTATGCCAACTGCCACCATAATTCAATGTTCCCACATCTTCATCAAAGATGAAGCCACAGATTTATTAAAAGTCAAAGCTGAGGTGATCCCACTGTGTGCAGGTTTACTGATTCCACTGGCTAAACGTGAATCTATCAGAAAGTAAAAGATTTTGGCATTACTTACGAATGAGAATCATCATAGTCCAGCCTGTCTTCATCTGGTTTAACGTTGTGTAGGTGAGAGCAGCTTCAGTTTCTGCAGACCACTGACTTCCTTTTAACAGCCCACTCTTTCCACTGAAAGCCCACTTCTCTCTTCTGTTTGATTCCCCCTTCCTAAAACCTCCTTCAACTTTGTTTGAGATAAAATCAAGATCAATTCAAAGTTCATGTCTGTGTTATGTTGTAGTTTTTTAATTTTTGGGTTTAATTTGAAGATAAATAAACTTTTTTTACTGGCAACATGAATTGGGTTTTGTTGTGCTTCTGCGCTGAAAGTGTGAAATGGCTAAACAGGAAATGAAAGCCACAAAACTAGCAGGTATTTTGAAAGCTAAGTTATGGAAAATAAACAACAGAGATATAATGGAACTAAATAAACATAAATATTTAAACCACAACTTTTGCTTTGTCTGTGTTGCCAATTGAAGATGGATGCAAGATGAATAATTCAGATTCATTTGAATTAAAATAATTTAAATGACATTACTCTGACAGATGTGCTTTACTTTCTTTTGTTGCCAATGGTGATCTTCAAATATGAAAATAAAATGTTATCCCAGGGTAATATCTTTTATCAATCCATGTAGGAATAATTTAGACTGAGCTGGACAAATATATTTAGTGAATACTTTATATCAAATCTCCCATCCTAGAACAGTCACAAGCTGCCCAGTCATTCCTGCTCTAGTGTGTCCCTGTCCAAACTCCTAGTGAATGAAAAAGAAGTGCTTAGTATGTTCCTAAACTTAACAGAAGTAAAAATACCTTCAGAAAATATGTTGGTCTGACAGGTTATGACTTATTAAAAGGCATCAAGGAGCTCTTTGTAATTCTCCTTCTCATGTTTCTCTAGATAACATGTAATGATCCCCAGAGGCTTTGCTGTTTTACTGTTATGATGAAGAATATACTTTGTTTTGAATGAGACATTATATCTCGTTAAAACTAAAAACATGCTTTCTTGTTATAATGATATAATGCTCCTGACTTTATTGTCCATTTAAAGACTTCCATACTTTACAAAAGTTGTTTTTTTATTTTACTTTTTTTTTATTATTTATTATTTTTTTATTTCCTTTATTTTACCAGGTAAACCCCGTTGAGATCTAGATCTCAGACCTGGGCAGAAGTCTGCGTAACTTGTGTTAAAACACAAAAGTTACGCATGATTTTAAATATGTAAATTGAGATTGCGTCATTACGCTGCTACCTGCTACTTTTAGAACAACCAATCGCTGCCCTCCTTACTGGGGAGTTGGCCACAGCGCGAAGCGGCTTCATGGTGTCCTGCTGACAGGAGTCCAACCAGCTGACTGCTCTGCTGTCTGTTAAACAGCGATGAAAGCCCCGCTGGTTCTGACAACTTAAGAACTGTTCCGAATTTAAAGTGACGGACTGAGAGGACCGGAAGAGAGCGGAAGGCACCGGAAGTCGGAGCGATCTGAGGTGAACCTTAGTATTAGCTTGTTTGTAGCTGTCAGTGCTAGCATTTAGGTCACTTAGCTCGTTCCTTCCTCTGACAGAGAGTCAGGAAGGGCAGGTTTTTATTTCCAGTCGGCGTAGTAGCAGTTAATATTCTTCTCAGTCAGATACTTTCTAAAGAAAACCCAGGAAGATCAGGTTTTATCTGGTGTGCGAGTCTGAAATAAACCTTTAGTTCAGAACACGCTGTTCTGAATCTTCTGGTTTCAGTCTAAGTGACACCACCATTTATTTTTTGACTTAGTTGAAATTTAAATATATTATTTTCTAAGAAAAAACACTTAAAATCCAGGTGTTTAATTTTTTTGTGTTTTGTTCATATTTTCTTCCATTTTGTGACTTTAAAATAGACCTTTAATTCACAGGTTATTGAGGTAGTGATCAAAATCTGAGTAAAATTAGTTTATTAAAGATTGGACCAAGAATTGGGGACGTGTGTTTTATTTTTAGTTTGATTTAAAGTTCCTACCTCGAGGAAATTTGAAGCACCTTGTAGCTTTTGGGGTTTTTATTTAATTTTAATTTAGTTTAATTTAAACTAAACTTAAGGATTAAAAGAAGTTGAAACCTTTAAAACTGATGAAAACATGAAGACTGTTTTATACAGGCAGTGAAACCAGGTGAGCAGCTGGTGGGCGTGGCCTGTCTGTAGCAGGAATGCAGATTGTTTAGTGTCTCCACCTTTTTTTATCAGGTTCCTTCCTCCATTTTTCACCTCCGGTTCTGTTTGAACGACTCGCTCCATGACCTGCAGCAGCTGCGTGTTGCTGCGGGCTGCAGTTTTTTTTGTTTGTTGTGCCTCTGCTGCTGTTTCTTTCTTTCTTTTTTTTTTTTAAACAATGTACTCCCTGACCTCCACCTCAACCTCAGCTACTTTTGTGCCAGAAGGAATATTGTTTAGTCCTATTCATCAGCAGTCTGTGGTGCTACTGTGACTTTCTCTTGATGTGGTCCAGTGGTGTCCATGTTACAGAAATATGATTATGTTTAGCTTTGATAAACTTGATTTAATTTGGTCTTCATGTTTTTTTTTTCATCCTGGTAATCAGAAATGTGACTCTGTCCTTGGCCGTCAAACAACTCTGCTGTAGTTTGATCACAAAAAACACCCAACTCCTATTTTGACTGACCTCTACCAGGTCCTGGAGTCATTAGTGTGGAAATAAACCTTGATCCAATACAGCGTAACATTAACTTTGAGGTGTTTAGCCGCTATCCTAGTTTCATGTTCAAACCATCTTTTCTGTCCATCACATTGGACAAGGATTGTACCCCCTACTCCAACATCTGTCTGTATATTCGGCCAGATGGCGACTTAAAGAGGAGTTCTGAAAGAGTTGTAACAAACCAAAGTCCAGATAAACTGATTCATGATATCTGATAAATATGTTGTTTTTTTAGGATGGCAGGAGTGTTTGACATCGACCTGGAGACGGAGGACGGCAGCGACACAGAGGTGAGCAGTGATTGGATCACACATCGCCGTGATGTAACAAAGACAAGCAGTGACCTCTAACCTTTCATCTCTAGGAGGACGCGTGTGAGGCGACGGTTGTTGAACCTGACAGGTAAGTTCAGACGAAGCCCAGACAGATGTAGGTGCTGCAGCGAGCTGATTTCTCCTGCTGTGATGTCATGGCAGCGGTCAGACGGAGGAGGTGGAGCTGACCAGTGAAAACGTCAACAGAGACAGCGAGAGAGTTGGACCGGACTGCTTCGAGCTCCTCACCGTTCTGGGCAAAGGGGCCTACGGCAAGGTGAGCCATGCTCTGCTCTTGGTGTCTGGTTTCAGAACATGTCTGCCATGGAGTCATCAGTCTGCCACCACTGAACAGAGAGAGAACAGTTTTGGCATTTTGGTAGCACAACATCTCAGTGAAGACTTGTAGAACCATGCTGCTTTAGGATGCACACCACCAGCCCGGTTCAGTCCGGTTTATTCCAGCTGCAGTCCGTTTGTCTAGAAGGTCTGGTTCGTTTGGGGAGGTGTTGATGCGTAATCAAACTCTGATGCCGACCAAACTCTGGTCAGTATACTGACCTCGGTCTGGGTTCGGTTGAAGTGAACTCAGCTGCGGGTCAAATACATATGTGAACGCCAAGCGGACCGGAGACCGCTCCAAAAGCAGGAAGTGGACTACAGCACAGGGCATTCTGGGTAAATACAACCAAAACAAACACACAAGTCTAGCACTACCAGGAGAAATGACTTGTGGTCAAAGACAAAAAATAAATCCTACCCCCTCTGACATCTGACACCTCCGTTTTTGGTTCTTGGTGCAGCGCCCCCACAGGCGAGGAGTGGAACAGGTGTTTTAATTAGTTTGGTTGGTTTGACTCAGAGCAGTGAGAAGGAGAACCACAGCAGCTGGAGATGGAGCAGATGTTGCAGTTTTGGTTCCAATAGAATCAAATCTATCAGAGGGGAAATAGGCCTGATGGAGACCAGGACAAACGCCCTCTAGTACAGCCAGGCATGGCGGTGAAGGGCTGATGCTGCGGCCCCTTGCATTCAAATATGAGTAGTACGGTGGATCTCGAAGGTCAACAGAAGGATCCCTATCGGTATCCAGTCTGGTGAAAAATCAGGTCTGCAGATGTTCACAGTCTGAAACTGGATGGATTGGCGGACTGGTCTGAAAATGTCTAAAACTTTTATTTAGGATTGAATCAGGAGTTTTGTGCTGAACTATTTTAATATTCTTCAACTTTCCGTCGTTCTTTAAGGTTTTCCAAGTGAGGAAGGTTCAGGGTCCCCAAACAGGAAAGATATTCGCCATGAAGGTCCTGAAGAAGGTAAGCTGGTGCTGGACCTGGGCTGTCTCCATCTTTTATCTTCGGTTCAAATTTGGACAGAAATGTGTCAAAAACGGGAAAGTTTGTAACATAAAACACAAAGAGTTTTAGAGAAGTGAAAAAAATAGGATGAATTACTAAAGGGAGAGACGCTGAGTTAGAAAATGAGATACAGGTGAGTGAGACGGTAAAAGAGGAGCGGTGCAGACAGCTGACAGAGAAATGGTTCAAAAGATGAAAATTGGACAGCAAAAACAGAGTATTTAATATTTAGACCCTTGTTTAAACATTTCTCTGACTCCTGCAGGCTAAGATCGTCCGTAACGCCAAAGACACGGCTCACACCCGAGCCGAGCGCGAGATCCTGGAGAAGGTCAGACACCCGTTCATCGTGGACCTGCTGTACGCCTTCCAGACGGGAGGAAAGCTCTACCTCATCCTGGAGTGTCTGAGCGGTAAGCTGGTGAAACCCGATGATGATGATGGTGATGATGATCATGACCTTCAGCTGTTCTCTGGGTCACCAGGAGGAGAACTGTTCATGCAGCTGGAGAAGGAGGGAATCTTCATGGAGGACACGGCCTGGTGAGATCTCTGTCTGCGTTGAGGTCAGAGAG